AACCGCTTCTATTGTCTGATTGAAAACAACAGTGATTATATTTTTCAGGTATTAATAAGAGGGTTTTGGAAGACTTGGCTCAAAAGCTAGAGTGATAACATTGCGTTTTGTGAGAGTCTCACAGCTTTGGCCAAGCATGGTCCCATCTGAAAGCAGTGGCAAAATTAACATTGCCCATATAGCAAGAGCAATTAAACAAAAAAAGCCCTAAATTAAGATTTAGGAGATTTCGGGTTCTCTTGGCCACTAGCCTACTTGGTGACCTCAGGCACAAAAATCAAGCTACTTCCCTGTTTCTTTTGGTATCTTTTATTCTTGCCTCTGTAAAATGAGAATACTGATCTTAACCTCCTTCATTAAACATGTTGCGGGATGAAGGGATCTATATATTACACTACATTAATCCTAATTTAAATTCACAAAATCATATGTCTTCCAGATAGTGGTGAATATCAACTCCTCGTGGGAAGTTCCAGAGCAGGGGTTTCAAGTTAATTCTGTAGTGACAAACAAATTCAGTTCTGGTCCATGGGTCAAGCTCATCTATTCCCCTTAGTCTGCAGTGGTTTGCACAAAAATCAAGGGTAAAAATACAGCAGTTAGACTTATTATCAGTTATTATCACTATTCCTTACTAGATCAACCCTTTATTTTTACAGCCACAAATTCTATGAGAAAATACATTCTCCTTTATGAACTCACATTTATATATTTTCTTTTAGGAAAATAGTCTCCTTTAGCATTATCTCCCCCTCCCCCCCCACCTGCCCATCCTTTTTTCTTTTTTTCTTTCCTATTCCCCAATGTGTTCAGACTTTGTATGTCAGTCAGCAGCTTCTGTCCTACCTCCATTGCAAATGCTTCTATAAGCAAGTGTAATCTAAGACTCTCCCTTCTCCAAAGGTATCAAGAGTGGATTTCTGGAGAGCCTGTGCTATGTATAACTACTCTAAACGGCATTAATACATTTAAAACTTGAGGGATTTAAATTCATTTTCTGTCTCTGAGATTCCCATGTTGACTTCAGCTGATCCCTTTTACTCTTTCACCTCTGTCACCTGATCAAGATGTTCTGAGATACTAATACAGTTTTCTTGATGCTTTCCTGATCTTACTTGTAGCCTTTAGAGTTAAAAATCCTATAATGTCACATGCTGTACCCTTTCCCCACCTCTCATCAGGAGAAAAAAAGATTCCTACAACGTTGGAATGACAGCCCTGTTCATTGCACTTTCCTGGCCAAGTCCTCCTCTCGGTGACAGTGTTTGAGCTTCATAAAGGTCAAAGGGAACGTGTCCAAGGGTGTATGAGAGGAGAACTTGGTTTTCCTTGTCCAGCATTCCAGCCTTTGCAATAGAAGAGTGAACCATAAATGTACTGCAGTTAGTGCCCCTTCGTTTAAATGCTGCATAGAATGGTTTAACCCTCTTGCATGGGGAAAATCAAGCTGTTCATAGTAAAACATCCCGCATGCATTCTTCATGGGTGAAATTCAACCCTGTACAGAAGTACAGGCCCTAGGCATCACCTAAATGATGCCTCCTTTTGAAAGTTTTAAGCAGGGCACAGACCTTGCACCTGTCTCTGCACTTGGGTGAATTTTGCCCTGAGGGTTTCTTCCTGTTGTATATTTTTCCACCTGCTGTACAGAATTTGCCTTCTGTCAGAGGGCTTTCCCTTCATGTGAGAGTTCTGCTCTGTCATTGTATGTTCTCCAATTTACTACAACGTTTTTGTTTTGGATAGACAATAGGGCTCTGCTTAAACCAAACTGAAGATAAAACTGTTTTGCAGTCTCTAATATGGATTGAAGTGTTTTCACAGAAGAGAGCAAAGTATCAGGATAGAATTTTCTAAGGCCCTCTTCCAAAACCCATTTGAGTACAAGGGAGTCTTCAATTGATTTCACTAGGCACTGGATCAAGGCCTAAATCAGTAGGGGTAGTTTTGCATCATCATGTTTGCCAAGAGCATCCCCTTGTCAGGAGTATTCTCTAGAGCACTCATAGTATATATGAAATTTTACTACTAAGGACATATGGTATGAGGTGATTACCTTGACACAACAAGGGGTGCAGAAATCCACTCATTCATATTTTCATAAATCTTTTAAAAGAGATATAATAAAATGTATTTTACATGCTTGGCTTCAATTTCTAATAATTTACTGTCTGCAACAGAAAGTTATCTTGGCCAAAAGGAAGAACCCCATAAATGTACCCTGGTCTAAATCTTATTGGTCACTCCTAAATCAAATACTTTTGCATAGACCATATACCTGTTTTGTTTTGGATTTATGATCTCTTGAATTTATCTCCTATGCATTTTGTGAATGATGATTCTGAAGGAGAGCCCAAGACATGATATACATTGCACAGGAAGTTTTGCACACTAGCACTGCCTCTGTAATGCTTGTGTGTAGTATTTTACACAATAAAAAGGTAGATCTTGAAAAGTCAAGAACAATCCTAAGCAATTAAAAAAATCCCCTTCAATTTTATGATTTGGAAGCTTAGTAAGTTGTCAAAACAGACTCCATTTCACATCTGAATGTCAGTTTTATCACAACTTTAATTTTCATGTTGGTTTTATTATAGTATGCTGCAGCTGAAGGTCAGGGGACCGGCCACTGCTTGTGACCCAGATGCCATTGTGGTCTACTGATCCTCTGCTGCTGACCCTGCACTCCGTGCACTCTTGCAGGGCTCCCATCTCCTGTAGTCTGTGCATACCACATGGCAGATTCCCCTGACCAATAGCCCTGCTGAAGAACAAATATGGCAGCAAAATAGGGCTGGGGCATCAATACTGTGGAGTCTGGCACAAGAATGTGACAGGATGAATGGTGGGCAGAAGGAACCTGTTGGGACATCACTGATGTGAATGGTAGGCAAAAAAGGACCCTGGGGACACCTTCTCTGGGGCACGTGTGCTGCTGATTCCTCCACTAGGACCCAACAGGCTGGATCTAACCTGTGGACTGTAGGCTGTAAGGCTGTTAGGGTGCTCAAGCTGGAACTAGTTAGCAAGGACCAATTGTACTACTGTCTATTAAATATGGTTCTTTTTCTGTATTTTACTGGCAGCAAAAGGGGTATTTCAACTAAGTTTTGTAGGAACAA